TGCAGTTGTTTTCCTTTCGCTAGATGGGGGTGGCTTTTTTCCTGTTTCCTTTACATGAAGTCGTGTGCTTCAGTTGACATAAGAGGCCCCAAAGTCGCTGCTGTTCGTTGTGTGGGTTCGGGATTTGCTCCCGGGAGTGAAACGAAAGTTAATTCGGGGTTCGTGTCAACCGTGGAGGACGTGGCCCTTGGCGGAGCCGGTTTCTTTCGTTTCTGGAAAGGCCTATTTCCCGTTGCGAAGGGATTATTCTGAGAAGGGACTGGGGATTGTAAAGACCAAACCCCCACTTTCTGTTTCTGGCTTTACCAGCTTTCCTCACATCCTTTCGAACTTGTGCAAGCGCGGAGCTTCAGTGAGAAATTCCTGGTGATGTCTCTGAGACTCAGCTCTGCCTTTTTTCCTCTCATTAGCCAGCGAGACTGTTAATTCCCAACGGGCGCAGGTTCCCGGCTTCCTGCGGGCAGAGTTAGCGTCTGCTTCTCTCTGGTAGCAGTGGCCCTTTGAAATCATGGTGCAAAGATACTGTCAGCACTGTGTTGTACCTGTCTGTCGAGCAGGCGTTTTGTGTAGCCCAGCCGAGAGGGAACAGAGTAACGCGAACATCTTGATCTTTAAACCAGCTGTTGTCCAGGGAGCATCAGTAAAAGCACTTTAAGCAGTTTTGCCTCTTCCACGTGTGCTGAAATTAATACCTTTTTCCAATAACAGTTCATTATTTTGTGTCTTTGGAGGCCAACGCGCTAACCCAGGGCACGTGGGACCAGAGCTCTTAAGACCTGGTAATTGTTGGATAATTGTCTGTGTGTAACGTGCAGGGATGCTGTCGTGCTCGCACTTAATCCCGTACTTTGCTCCTGTCTTACTAAAACCACCTTTGTGACTGATCTCAAACACTTTCTAAGATGCAGATCCCTAGCCAATATTGTGCTTTGCTGTTGGGCTTTGGCGTTTTCCCCTCCCTTCAGCCGGCGAGAAGAAATGAAGGCAGATTCCCTGCCGCTCTCTGCCTGGCTCCTGCGAGGGTCCCTCACGCCGTAGCCCTTCCTCCAGGCTCGCAAACCTTGGCTACGTCTTAGAGCTCGTTATTAAACCTCCATGTGAAGACGTGGGGTTCGGCATCACGCCGTGTACTAGAACATTCACCAGAGAGTAGAAGGGTTTATTGCACGGAGCAGGAATTCCTCCCCGGTGTAGTCACCAACGCTTTGAACCATCCGTGGGGAGCTCGCTGTTGCTCGCGCAGCCCGGGGCTATCTGCAGTTGGAAGAGGCGGTCGCTAAAACCAGGCAAGCCATCTGGTGCGGACCTCCAGTTTCATATTTCAGGGGATGAACTCCTGCAGAGTTCACGGCTGCTTTTGCAAAAGTCTCCGACTCTGCAGAATTGGGCGTCTCATACCCCTGAGTTAAACATGTGGTTTTTCCTTGTGCTCCTCCGCCGAGAGGCCTTTTCCTGCTGTATGGAGAGGAGCAGGATTGCACACGGAGTTGGAGAAATCATCGTCAAATGTTTGCTTTCTATGTTTTCCCCTTTTTTGGTACCCATCTTGAAATGCATGGGATCTCACTTTCTGGGGTGCGAAGTCTCTTCCATACGAGTTTGGTGGAAGGTGCAAATGCCGTAACCATCAACGTGCGCAGTTAGTGCTTTCACAGAAAACCCTTGCTGAGTCTTGTTGTGGCCGTTTAAAGCGCTGTCTGGGCCTGTTGGATGCATCTCTTCTACCAACGCGATGCAGTAAGCGGAAGGGATGTTCACCTGCATCTCTGCCATGGTGTGGTGCTCAGTTATTCAGGTTGAACCACTGATGAAGGAGGGTTCGCGCATGGGTGCTGGGCTGCGGTTGTGCTGGCTGAGGCCCAACTCGCATTCCCTTTTGCTTTGAGGGGCAGAAAACTCTTAGCAGATGTGTAGGGCAGCCAACAGGGAGCTGTAGTGTTAATATTTACCAGCATTTTTCTGTCAGAGCTCTCTAGAGACCATTTTGAAGACGTTCCTCTTTGGTTGACTTGCTGGAAATACTGATGTGAGTGCCAGACTTAGGATTGCCGTATTCTTGGTGGCCAGCACGTACATAAGCCACAGGTCAAGGTTTTGTGTCTCTCCCAGCCCTGCTCCCACCCCGTGTCTCCTCATCTGCAAAGGGAGAAAAGTGCGTTTGGTGCAGGTGTTGGAGTGGGACTTCACTGGCTCTGTCCTGCTGCTGCTTTTTGCTTCGTTGGTTTTTAACCAACATGTGCAGAATGCACAATCAGCATCTTGGAGAAGCAGCGGTAGGAAAGAGGAAGCTCACGCAGAATATAAATAGCCAAATTTTAAAACGTACCAGTGTAGCAGCTCGCCTGGCTCTTGGCATGAGCCTGGCTGAAGACCGCGGGGAAGCTGCGTACTTCGTGTGTGGTTTGCAAAGGGGGAACTTTGGGGGATATCGCACCAGTCAGCAAGACAAAAAATGAATGAATCTGACAGTCTTGAATATGGGAAGGAAATGAAATTTGCTTCTACGCACATCAAAATTGGGTGTATCCTCTGCACGTGACGCGAAAGACAGAGTGAAAACCCTGCACGGTTGTGGCAATATTTTCCACTGTAGTTGCACAGCAGCTGGCAATGATTCATGGATTGGTCCTGGGACATTTTGTCCTCCCATATGATTTGATTTCTTTATTACTTTAATTGCATCTCCACAAACATCTGATTTTTCTTGATATTTGTGTCTGGAGTTTACAACTGCCCAGCCAAATGTCTTTTCTGAGTTAGACTGCGCAGGGACCTGGTGCTGCTGGACCCAGAGCTTTCCTCCAGCGCAAAGTCAGCATAACTGGAAGATATGCAGGGTAGGGCTGATCTGCAGGTTGGGTAATGAAGACGGGGAGAAAGCCCGGGAGAGCTGATGTGAAGCTCTGTTGGTAGCGATCCCCCCTCTCTATCACTGCCGCTTGGGCTTGTGCGCTCGAGAGGCATCTACTGCTGTTGCTTCTGGAGGACAGCACATAGCTGTGGGCACCGGGGTCTGATGGTCTCTGAGGACAAACTGGGAAGAGTTCCCACAGCTTTTCTTTCTTTTTGTTGGGAACAGCATCTATAGATGGAAGAAAGACAACTTGGCTGACTTGAGCTCGAGTTAGGTGCCATCACTGTAGGTGGCTGATGTAGAGCGGACGCGAGGCTTCAGCAGCGCCGACAGCTCTCTCCTGAGGTCGCACCAGTCCCCTCGATTCCCTGCTGAGGCATCTCAGCTTGTGTGGTCGGGCATGACTCACCAGGCATAGGAGCACCTCGTTCCTATGAGCTTTTGGTGGAGAGATGGAGAGGTGAAGGGGGAAAAGCCCGCCTCTCTCGGCTGCCCGTGTGTTTAGCTGTGTACCAGCTCACCTTCCCCTCGCTGATGTGTTCAAACAGCTTCGTCTTCCCTGCGCCGGGGCCAATGTCATGGGTGGCTGCTCTGGCGAGCGTCCCAGCGCGGACATGTCATGGGGCTGCAGAGGAGTGGGGTGGGCTCAGGGGCTTGTTCGTGCCCTTGTTGGTGTTGGGGCTGAGGGCTGCCAGCCTGGGCCTGGGCCAGCTAAACTGGGGGAAGCTGGGCTGAGGTCTGCACTACCCCCAGCGGCCAGCGTCGTCAGCCCCGGGGATTTATTGAGGCAGGAGGGAGGTGTACTTTCACATCACGCTGTCTAGGAAGGCGCAGTGGGTGCCTTTTCCATTCTTGAAATTCAGACCTGTTTATACTTGAACACAGATGTATGCTACAACTCACCCCAGAGCAAGGAAGAGGGGCACTGACGCGGGCGTCCACAAGGATGTCTGTCTGTCCACCACCTTGTGCGGGTGCTGTCAGGGTTGGTCTGGAAGCTGGTGCACCCCGGGAAAGACTTCTGATGTTCACAGCACAGCTGAAGTTAGGAGCCTCACAACCCTTCGAGCTTCAGCAAACCAAACCTCTTGATAATCTGGCATGAAATGAAGTGAGAAGTGCAGGTGCAGCAGAAAGCGAGGAAGAAGTCCAGTAACCCTGCACGGGGGGATTCTCCATCCTCATTCATCACAGCCATGAATGAGAGGCTTTTTAAAGTTTTCCCCTTAGTCTTTGAGCTCACTGTGGTTCCCTGCCTTAATTCCTTGCTAATAGCACTTGGCGTGCGCAGGATATGATAACGGCACAGTGACCGCTGCTGTGATGGTGATGATAAAGGATGGTTGGAGAGTGTGTTAGGTGCACGTTCCATACGTCAGCTCGGGGTCATGTTCGGCGCTTTCTGCTCAGTGTCTCTCGAGATGTGCAGTGTTGTCTGAAGCTGGGGCCCTGGCTATGGCCGTTCCCGTGTTTGTGGGGAGCAATTTGGGAGGAGGATTTTTTGCCAGGAGCAGTGGTGCTCCCGGGGCTCCATCCTGGTTCACCCCATGGCAGCTTCTTCCCCAGCGAGCCCTACATTGGTGCCGTCGCTCGGGGGTTTTTGTGCTCCTGAGAGGCAGATTGCAGGTGAAGCCCCTGGCTAGCAACGTGTTACACAGGGGGGACTTGTCCCCGAGCCCCTGCTCCCCAGTGCCTGGTCACCTCCCCCTGGTAACTGGCTTGATGCTTTCGGGCATTTTCCCCATCTGCCGAGCAGTGGGTTTTGCCACATGTTTTCCCACCATTTGGCATGGGGGATGGAGGGTGGGGGAGATCCCCGCGGTGTTTAAAAGGATCTGAATAAATCCTCTTAAGAGAGGCACTGACTCAGCAGAGCGTGGTGAGAGAGGAGGAGGAGGAGGAGGAGGAGGAGGAGGGAACCGAATTATCCTTTTGGGGCTGGAGCTGCTGCTGAGCCCCACGCTGGCACGGGGAGCTGGGGCAGGCGTGTGCCTGGGGACCTGCCCCAAGAAGCATCTGCTCTTTCCTCAACGTATTTTAGGTGGTCTCCATCTCCCTAGAGCAGAAACGTGAGCTTAGGCTGTGGCCCAGAGGTGCCTGTCCCCAGGGGTGGAGGAGACCTGTCCCAGCTGTGCCCAAGCCCACCATGGCACCGTTCCCTGAGGTTTCCCCCACAGCTTTGAGCTCCCACCTTGGATTTCTGCCTCCTGTGCGTGGCCAGCGCTGCCGAAGCTCGCAGGCGCCTTGGTTTCACCGTTATTATTTATTACCAAAGGTGCGCCGAGGTACTCGGTTCCCGCAGGGACAGATTACCGAGATTACGGTCAGACCGAGTGGCAATGTCACCTTACGGGAAAGGCAAAGGCTTGGGGAGGGGGAAGCAGCCAGGGGTGGCTATGGGGGTGAGGGGTCCCTGCTCTGCCCAGCCCCCGGCGATGCTGCAGCCTCCCTTTGCAGAAGGGCTGAGACGCGGAGGCGGGGGACACGGAGCAGACCGAGAGCAGCTTCCCGAAGTCTCAGCTCTGCCTTTGTGCGGGCTCAGGCGGGCCCAGGGCTAAGCTGGCCAGGAAGATTGGTGTCGCCTGGTTTGCATTTCTGAGCAGGCACGGGAAACTCTCGCTGCCTGCCGGCTGTTGCCTTTGGCTTGCTGAGATGCCTCGTACGAGCATCTCTGCCACGCTTCACCCTCCTTATCTCACGGTGTATCTTGTCCTCCCGTGCAGAGCTCCACACAGGAGATTGGAGAAGAGCTGGAGGATGGTGTGATCTACAGCATATCGCTCCGGAAAGTGCAGCTCCATCACACGGCCAACAAAGGGCAGCGATGGCTGGGGGTAAGCTGGGGGCTCCGCCAGCCTCCCGCCACGGGGTGTTTTCAGATGTTTCCCTGCCAGAGACATGGTGACCTGATGTCAGGGCTTGGCAGGGTCGATACCAGCCCACGTACTGTCCTCTTCTCACTCCCTCGTACGCTCCTGTCTGGGGGTGTCCTTCCAAGCCTTATTTGGGGATCGTATATTTATTTGGGGGTACCCGCTGGCCTCTGCCTCACGCTAAAGGGCATGGGGGAAACAATCTGAAGCCCCATTTTGCAAAATAGGACAGCCCTGATTTGCACCTAGGTTTTGGCAACCCTGAGGCCCTTCCTGGGACTTCCTAAAAGCTCAAGTCTTCTCAGCTGAGTTGCTGGTATTTGGTGCCAGAGGAGACCCAGCTTCCCTTTCCCTGGGCCCATCATGAGAGCCTCAGGCACTGTAGGGGATCCGTGGTCCCAGCCTAGACCCAAAAAGTGGCTGGTGAAGCTGCTGGGACCGCAGTGCAATTGAATGTGTCTGTCCTCATCTGGCCCACTGACTTCTGCTCCTCTCCCGGCAGTTTGAGAACGAGTCGGCCTTAAACCTCTACGAGACGTGTAAGGTGCGGACGATAAAAGCTGGGACCTTGGAGAAGCTGGTGGAGTACCTGGTCTCAGCCTTCAAGGGCAATGACTCCACCTACGTCACCATCTTCCTGTGCACCTACCGGGCCTTCGCCACCACCAAGCAAGTGCTGGACCTGCTGCTTAACAGGTGAGGCTGCCCTGAGCCCCGAAACGCAGCTGGGGGTGGCCGATCTCTGAGGCCCCTTGACCAGGAGAGCTGCAGCATCTTCTGCTGCCGTGCCTTGGAGGGCCAATGGGCTTCTCCCAACCCCATCAGCATGAAGGTTTTGGGGCAGGGCAGGAAGGACACAGCTTCCCAGTGAGCTGGAGCCCTTCCAGCTGGTACCCTGCTGCGATGTGGCCAGTGCGGGCTGCTTCCCTCTTCCCACAATGCGAGGGCTGTGGCAGACTGGGGGAGCAGGACAGTGCACGAGAAATTCATCCTGACCCCCTGGCAGAGCTGGGGCTGATGCGGAGGGAGCTCTGAGACGTAGCTGAGTTCAGATGCTCACTGCCTCCTCTCTGTGCCCCACCAGGTACGGCAAACTCCACGTGCAGGCGAATGGGGACCATGCCAGGCACACTATGGATGAGAGGATGGAGCTGAAGAAGTAAGTCTGACTGCGCTGTGGGTGAACAAGATGGGTGGCTCTGGAGACAGCTCTTTGGTTCTCGTCCAAAGGCATGCATTGTCCCAGGGGTGCTCCTGGTGCTTGGGGTACACACCGGTTTCTCCTGGCACCCGATCCTCACGCAGGCTTGCCTGTGTTTCCCCCCCTTCCCCACAGCACCATCTCCTCCATCCTGGGCGCCTGGCTGGACCAGTACTCAGAGGACTTCCGCAAGCCCCCAGACTTCGCCTGCCTCAAGCAGCTCATCTCCTACGTGCGCCACAACATCCCCGGCTCGGACCTGGAGCGCCGAGCCCGCATCCTGCTGGCCCAGTTCCAGCAGCAAGAGCAGAGCGAGTCGGAGGCGGAAGGTGGGGTCCTTTCCCCGCTTGCGGGGGGTCATCTGGGGCTGCAGGGGGAGGGTGTGATACTGGTTGGCATCAAGGGTCTCCAAAACCTTGGGTCTTGCCACGTGGCCGACCCCCATGAGCCCTGCCTGCGTTTACATGGAGGTACACCGGGAAGCTAATCCAACTGCACCAGAAGCGGGATTTCTAAATGGATTAGCTAATCTGCCTTTAATCCTCTGCAGACACTTGTGTCCAGGTTTAAAATGACTATCCTTTTATCTGAGCCTCGTTTCTCGAGGCGTGAAGCCAGATGGGAATTGAGAGGCCGGGAGGTGGGATATGGTGTTGGCAGGGGACTGGGGTGGGTCGGCGTGGGCTCGCGGCAGCGCTGCAGTGCTCAGCTTCGCGCCATCTCTCGCAGCTGTGGACCATGGCGGCTGCACCTTCCAGCTGGTGGAGGAGAACGGGGTTGGGGACGGGAAGCCAGATTTCCTCTCCTTCTCCCCAGAGATGGTGGCAGAACAGTTCACGCTGATGGACGCTGTGAGTATTCATTCAACAGGCGGGTCGGTGGTGCTCTGCCCATCTGCTGCCTGCTGCTCTGGGCACAGGCCTGTCTCTCCCCTTCCACCTTTTATTTCTGGCCTGTTCCCTTCCCAGGAACCCCGAAGAGACTCATCTCCATCCCTTTATCTTCCAGGAGCTGTTTAAGAAAGTGGTGCCTTACCACTGCCTGGGCTGTATCTGGTCCCAGCGAGACAAGAAGGGCAAAGAGCACCTGGCGCCCACCATCCGTGCCACGGTCTCGCAGTTCAATAGCGTGGCCAACTGTGTCATCGCCACGTGTCTCGGAGACCGGTCCCTGAAGCCGCAGCAGAGGGCTAAAGTGGTGGAGCGGTGGATCGAAGTGGCTCGGGTAGGACAGTTGGCCGTCCCGCTCGCCTCCCACCCCGGCCCAAGGGCTGAGGTTTTGCGGTGTGTGTGTCCCAGCGGATCCCTGGGCTTTCTTTAACCCCGAGTCCTGTCATCTCCTTGTCTGCCCTCAGGAGTGCCGCATCCTGAAGAACTTCTCCTCCCTCCGAGCCATCCTCTCAGCTCTGCAGTGCAATGCTGTTCACCGGCTGAAGAAGACCTGGGACGAGGTCCTACGGTAAGCAGTGCCTGCTGGGCTCCCGCGGCCGCGGCAAGGTTTCAAGGGGGAGGTTGTGCTGTGGCTGTGGCCCTTGAATGTGTAGATGGGATCATCTCAGCTCCAGCATTGCCTCTTGGAGTGTGCCCAAAACCCAGAGACCACAGTAAGGTATCAGGGACCTAAAGAGAGTGAGGAAATAAAGGCACCATCACCTTCTCCTCCTTTCCATGTGAAACACCCTAGAATAGCCCCCAAACAGCAGGGCCCTGCTGGAGCTGTGAACGTTGCGGGGGTCCTTTGGGTGAGCAGAAGAGAGCCCAAGGAGGAGGCCCCAGGGTGGCACCGTTGCTGACTTCCTCCCGTGTTTCTCCCTGAGCAGGGAGAGCTTCCGCACGTTCCACGAGCTCTCCGAGATCTTCTCCGATGAGAACAACCACTCGCTCAGCCGGGAGCTTCTCATTAAGGTACGGGGAAGTGGCACCCGCGTTGCCCTGTCTCTGGCAAGGAGCTCAGGCTGATGCTGGCAGAAGTTTCTACCATGTTCCAGCCACCAGACTAAAGCCCCAGCAGTGCTGCCGGGATTGCCGACGTGGCTGCAGGCAGGGCCTTTTGAGTCTGGGGAGCAGGCAGGGGTTTCGGACCAGGCTGGGCTTTCTCCTTCTCCACCCAAATGCTGTCACTGCCTGAAGCTTGCAGAGCAATTCAGCGAGCAGAGATAAGCAGTGGGATAGGATCCAGCGCACCAGGTGACGGCTTCTCCCCAGAGGCAGCTGCATTTTAACAGCCCAGTGCAAAGTCCTCTTGATTTCAGGTGGGGTTTTAGGGTTTGTGAAAGGCTGCAGCAAAAATGTCCTCCTTCCTTGTGAAGCGTCTCCGCAGCTTCCCAGCCTAGCTCCAGTTTGGGGTTGAGAGGACACAACATGCAAAAGGGAACAAAACATCCCATTGAGGAGCCAGTGATACAGAGCGAGAAATGGGAGCAGCAGTTCCTATTCACTAAGCCTCTCCTCCCTGTGAGCCATGAAAAAGCTCAGCTGTGATTTCCTCCTCTTCTCCTCTACAAGCAAAGTTGTACCAGTGAAAGCAGGGGTGAATTTTAGCTCGTCTATTAGTGGTTTCCCACCTGCGCTGATTCCCACTTCTCCCCACCATCCAGGAGGGCACGTCCAAATTCGCCACCTTGGAGATCAACCCGAAGAGGGCTCAGAAGCGGCAGCAGCAGCAGCGAGAGATGGTGAGTCTGGCATGGCTGTCCCGGTGCCCCCTCCCTGGTGCCTGCCCAGGCTGGTCCCAGCTCTCTGCTGACCCCACTGTCCCTTGCTGTCCCCGCAGGGTGTGATGCAGGGCACCATCCCCTACCTTGGCACCTTCCTCACGGACCTGGTGATGCTCGACACCGCCATGAAGGATTTCCTAGACGTACGTACCTCCATCTCTATCCTCCCCTTCCTCTTCGTCCTCCGCACAGCAGCCCAAGAGTCTGGGCTGAGAGATGGAGGGCTGGTCCCCCATGCGTCCTGTGTTGGACACTGCACCCTGCACATCCTATATTGGACACTGTACATCCTGTGTTGGACACTGCACCCTGCGTATCCTCTGTCCGATGCTGTAGCCTGCGCATCCACCTCTGTCAGCTCATGGAAATGGGATGCTCTGGCGCTGCCCCTCAGCAGGGACGCCCGCACTGCAGTGGCAGCGAGTGGGGGGACAGGGAGTTACGGGAGCAATAGGATTTTTGCCTGCCTCACACTGACATTTGGCTCCTTCTTTTCCAGGGTGGGCTGATCAACTTTGAGAAGAGAAGGAAGGTGAGAGCTTTGCCCTGGCGGCAGCACGGCGGGGTGGAGGGAGGAGGCTGACTCGGTGCAAGCCCAGGCTGTGCCAATCAGTTTGGGGCTGTTCCCTCTCCTTTTTTTTTGCTGTCAGGTTCTTTGTTTTGGGGAGGCGGATTCTGGTCTTTCATATCTGTCTCCGTGTGTGGGGCTGGGTTGTTTGTGGAGGCAGCAAACAGATCTCATGGCTTCTGTTCACTGCAGGAGTTTGAAGTCATTGCGCAGATCAAGCTGCTTCAGTCGGCCTGCAACAACTACAGCTTCACGCAGGAGGACCAGTTCGTGGACTGGTTCCACAGCCTGGAGCGGCTCAGCGAGGCCGAGAGGTGAGCCTGAGGGGGTCTGGGGCCACGCTGCTGCTGGTGCATTGGGAGGTCCCACTGCTCATCTCCAGCTGCTGAGCAGCTGCCCCGAGCTCCCCTCTCTGCTCTGCCTCCCTTGCCCTGCCGGCACGGTGCTCACCGCCGCCGTGGCAGCACAGAGGGCTCAAACCCTCATCTCTCCCCTCCCAGCTACGGGCTGTCGTGTGAGATCGAGCCGCTGTCGGAGTCAGCCAGCAACACGTTGAAGGCGAAGAAAAACACGGGCATCATCAAGCGATGGAGCGAGTGAGTCTGCTCATCCCCGGCGGGATGCGGGGTGGAGGTGGGGGCCAGCGCGAGGCCACTCCGGCTGAGGATTGCAGGGGACCAGGCTGGGGTGGCCACTGTCCTGCCAGTCAAATGCACCTTCACTCTGCTCAATACTCACCTGCCCCACGTCTCTCCTGGCAGCCGGCAGCCTCCGAGCACCGAACCCTGCGCCAGCGGCAGCTCCCACTCAAAATCCTTCGACCAGCTCAAGTGCGGACAGTACTTGTGCAGCGGGGATGCCACCGACTCAGTGAGTGTCACCTCTGCCTGCTCCAGCAGCTCCGATGTGGAGGAGATCAACATCAGCTTCATCCCCGAGTCCCCCGACTGCCAGGAGAAGAAGGTACGGGGCAGCTCGGGGGGTCCGGGCCCCCAGAGGCAGGTGCGGCCATCATGCGGAGACTGCCTCACCTCTGCCCCGGCGCTGGGGCTGGGGCAAGCGGGTGGGGGTCCCGGGGGCTGTTTCTGACCCACCGGGGCTGGGGGTGCCCCTGCCCTTTGCTGCTCCGGCAGTGTGGCAGGGCTCTTGTGCCTCCGGCTGCTGTAGTCGTATCGGTCCCCCATTGTCACAGGTCAGTGAGATCCCTCTGGCCTCCCTCCCCCAGCGCTGGTACGCCCCGTCTGTGGCCGATGGAGAAGCTAAACCCACTGTGTCCTCCGCATCCCCTCTCCTCCCTGCCCTCCAGTTCTGGGAATCCACCTCCCTCTCCTCCCTGGACACGTCGGGCATCGGCTCAGGCTCCAGCAGTGCCTCGTCCTCTTCTGTCTCCTCCACGCCGGTGACTGCCTCCCGCACCCACAAGCGCTCGGTCTCCGGCATCTCCAGCTACTCCTCCCTCTCGCTGCCCCTCTACAACCAGCAGGTTGACGACTGCTGCATCATCCGCGTCAGCCTGGCTGTGGACAACGGCAACATGTACAAGAGCATCCTGGTTAGCACGGAGCACCTGCGGTGATGCCGGGGAGGGGTGGCTCGCCCCGCTCAGATGCGGGCATGGCCCATTTTTGGGAGGAGACAGTGGTGGGAGGCTTTGTGGCGTTTTGCACCCCCTGGGTTAACAACATTCTGCGCTCACAGGTGACGAGCCAGGATAAGACTCCGGTTGTTATTCGCAAGGCCATGGCCAAACACAACTTGGACGGGGACCGGCCTGAAGACTATGAGCTTGTTCAGATCATCTCAGAGGAGAGAGGTGTGTGCTGGGGTGCGGGGGGGCTCCTGGGGACTGTGTCCCTGCCTGGTGTGCAGCCCTGCAGCATGGGCAGCAGCAGGTCAGAGCGGGGCTGGGAGGTGACAGCAGAGGGGTCCCAGCGCCCGGGTACAACTCTCAGTCCCGCTCTGGGCCCCTTTGAGGGAAGGCGTGCCTGACTGACCCCCATTCTTATCGCTTCCAGAGCTGAAGATCCCTGATAACGCCAACGTCTTCTACGCCATGAACTCCGCCGCCAACTATGACTTTGTGCTGAAGAAGCGGGGCTTCTCCAAGGGGGTAAAGATCAAGCACGGCTCCAGCTCCACCCTGCCCAGGATGAAGCAGAAAGGCCTGAAGATCGCCAAAGGCATCTTCTAGCCTCAGCCCCACTGCCACCCATCACCGACGGGGCCTTGAGGGCAGGCTGCTCCGAGCTCGGCTGTGGCCGGTCCTTGTGCCGCCTGGCACAGCGAGAGGAGTGACCCTCGCCCGCGGGGGACGGCCGTGCATCTCCCTCCCGCACCGAGAGCCGGGGCGCTTCGGCAACTGGTGTCGGCCTCCGCGTCTCTCTGCACAAGCTCCCGTTTCAATCAGGTCTTTTTTTCTACACAGGAAGGCAGCAGGGGGGTGGGGGGAATATCTCTGTTTTCTTTTTCTCTTTTTTTTTTTTAACCTTCCACGGTGCGACACTAGTCCAACCGCCGGCCAGCCCAGAGCTGGAGCCCGCCTCTGCCGTAGGTGCCTTGTGTCCGAGCGAGCCGGGGAGCGGTGACTCGCAGAGGGGCCGTTTGCAAGGAGCAGAGCACGAGCCATCACTCCAGGGCTGCAAAGCCTCCCACGTGGCGGGGTGCTCTCCTTCCCGGCTTTCCTGGCGTTGTTCTACCTTCATGTCCATCCTCCCCGGGATAACTGGCATCGCCACCCCTGCGCATCTCTGCCTGTCCTTCCCTTGGGAGAAGCCGTGGACACGCCGGGCTGGGAGGTGAGCTGGAAAGGATGCAGCCCCGCACTGGTGCTCGGAGCCCCGTGGAGGAGGGCTCTGTGTCCGTGCTGTGATGGAGCGGGTGCCTTGTGCTCTTGACGACTGGAAACCTGCATGGTCTCGCTCCTCTCCCTGATCCAGCGCATCCTCCAGTGGGACGTTGACGGTCCACATTCAAACTTGCACCAAAGATCAAATGCCAGTGTCTCTTCTACCAGTGGGGGAAGCTTTGCGCTGTGCCCCCAGCGCTGCCAGCCTAACGAGGAGGAGAAGGAAGAGGAGAGCGAATTTCTGTCCGAACTTGTGTAAATAGAGACCTTGGGTCTGCGCAGGCGGGTGAGGAGCCGGAGAGCTTGGGGTGCTCTTGGTGCCCTGGCTGCCACCGCCTGACCTGCAGAAAGTGCCACTCACCTTGGGCTTTAACCGGACTTTTTCAAACACTGACCATGGGAGAAGCAGCAATGAGACTTTTTTTTTGTATAAAACAAAAAAGTTTACTGATTTTTTTTTGCAATATTTATTGGTTGTAAATAGAAGAGACAAACTTGTACATTTTACTAATCCAGCCTCCCCCTGCCCTGCAGCCCAGTCCCTCGCCTCTCCCCACCCTGGTATTTAAGCCTCCTGGGAGGGACGTTGGCAGCAGCAGCGTTTCTCTGCTGTGCTCGTGGGGCGCAGACCCTGCCGGCCACCCCCTCCCTTCTTTCTCCCACTAGTCGCTCGAGCAGGGGCAGAGATGCTTGTTTTAATCATTGTAGGAAACACTAACTGAAGGGGGACCTTTTTTTGCTCCTGGCTCCATCTTTTGTTTTTTTTTTTTTTTTTTTCTTTTTTAAGCGCTTCCTCCCAGCCCATCTTTTCTCTTTCCCGTCTGTCCGTGCTGCCGGGTGGGTCCAATGCCTCCACCGGCTCCAGGAGAGGGGCCTGGGGATGCAGCAACGCTGCATGGCCACCCTCGGGGGGCTGGTGGCAGGAGCTGGGCTGTGGGCCCCTGGCACTGGGGGGAAAGAGGCTGCTTGGGTGCGAGCGTGGCCAGCACCGAGCTCTCCCAGCCCCGCGTCCCTGCGGGTGGCATCGCCCTTCACTGCACATGATGGGAGCCCCTGGCTCCCTGACGCAGGGGCAGCCTCCTGCCTCCCGCCCTGCCCGGAGCCTGGCTCCTGCCCTCAGGCATCAGCACCCCAGGGTCTTCCCTCCGCTTCGTGCCTGCCAGCTCCTGCCCACCCCGGGGCCATGCTGGCCCTCACTGTCCCCCTCCCCTCCCACCGGTGTCCCCCAGCAGCCCAGCATCACCCGAGGGACTGGCTGTACCATATGTATTTTGTACCACTTCAATGAAGGAGCACACTGCCTGGTGTGACTTGTACACAGCAATGTAATTAGTCTTTGCAATAAAATACTGATGCTCAAATGTCTCTGCCCCAAGGCAGGGGTTGTCCTGTCCTCCTTCCCCAAAATGCTGGCACGTTCCCGGAGTGGACCTGACCGCGGAGGGGGTGGCATCGTGTCTGTTGTTTGTACCTTAGGTTAACTCTGGCGAGTTGAGCTTTGTTTTGTGCTTGAATTAAGATAAAGACTTTTTGTTTTGAGGGACCAATGCCTGATTTTCAAATGAACCCTGCTCATTTGAACCTGGGAGTTGTTGGGACTACCACATTTTCCAGTTACAGAAATGTGACATCGAGTTTACTGGTTTTACTCCTTGTAATTTGAACAGTGGCTTTAAGAGCAAATGCAGTGGTTGGTCATTATGGTGTGGAGAGAGTGGTCTGCCGTGGCTTGAGGCATCGTTCCAGCATGTTTATTTTCTAATTGCACAGACATCAGTGGAGATTACTCGGGATGGTGTGCTAGTTCTGAGCATGGGTATTCAAGATGCAGCTGCATCATCCAGAATTTCTCTGTGCGTTTGGCTACGTAGATTAGTTTAAAGCCTGTGCTTTTGGAAATGAAAGGATCATATTGTACAGACAGGGCTGGCAACACCATTACCTGCTCAGGCAGAATTAAACATCCAAATCACTGCAGCCTTCCCAGAGAGAGGAATTTTGAAAACGGCTGGGAAACAAATGAACTCTGGCACAAGTGATTCCTGGCTGCTTTGGCCTTGGGACTCCTGTTGATAAAAGCTTAGCTTCAGGTGTTTTTCCTAGCGTTTCTAAGAGTGTTTATTCTTGGTGCGTGCCAATTCTTACCTAGCAGTGATATGTCCCTCCACTGCATCTCTCATTTTCCTTAGTTCGCTGTTGCATTGCATTGAGCAGGTAAGTCTGTTGCACAGCCCCTCATGCCTCTGGATTCCCACGTTGCCAGGACCTACCCCTTACCTGGGCTGGAGGTGTCCCCAGACAGAACAATCGATGCTCAGCCGCCCCCTTATGAAGTCTTAAAACTTTTGTACTTACGGTTGCAGTCCATGCTACCCCGAGGCAGGAGCAGAAGGCAAAGCACAGAACCTCCCAGGGAGCCGTGGTGAGTGCACACCCGAGGACCCAGTCCCCAAATGCAGTGTCTGTGTACATATACGTACACATACAGAGGTATCCAGGAGCACAGCTATGTGTACAACAGCCCTGCAGATGTTGCTTTTGTGGGCGGGAAACCAAACCTAAGGAAATATCTCAGTCTAACAAAATGCCAGCAAACATAAAAAAATGCTGAAGCCTTGAGAAGCCTCACACAAGACCAGGAGGCTGAAATCATATTGAAACACACATTAGAGCATATTATCGGCCACTAATGAGAAACCTGGCACTCATAACACACTGGGGAATACACAAGACTTGGAAAATGCCAGCGGATCCTTAATTTCTGTGACGGGGTGGTAACAATCCAGCCAGCAATGGTAGACTAATGAGCGGCCAACCTCTGCGGACCTGAAGCTCTACCCCCTTGCCTGCTTCCTTCTGTCCTTGCTAACTACTGGGGAAGTCAAAACGGAATGGAGAAGTGCATCAGCTAGCGAGGGCAACATACAGTACATCCCACAGAAGGGAATTATTCACTGCCACAAAGCATTTTTCCTGCTGGCTTTATTTCCAAGATCTCCAGCAATGCTCGATGCTGAAGTCATGGCACAGTATTTCATTCCCCTTTGACAAGCAGAAGGGCAGCACCTGCCTTAGAGGCTCCACCAGGGCTCCCCAGCACCTCCTCAAGCACCTTTTCTATTTTCCGCACGGCCGCCAACCTGGCCAAGGTGTACTTCCCACACATGGAGAGATTTAGGAATGCAACTTCACCTCTTTTCTGGTGTATTACCAGCTGGTTTGGGTTCTGGGCTCACTCTTGGGAGTTTGTTGAGCTGGCTTGAGGGGTTATTAGCTGGCAATTCTGAGAGTGTAGGCACTGGCTCCCTAACATCAGGAATGACATCCATCAGCAGGTATCACAGTCCATGCAGAGAGATCATCAGCATCTTCATGCAAGTTCTGCTTTCCTACATCCTGGGCATGGTGGCTGAACCCTCAGCACTCAAAGACCAAGAGCAGAGACGATTCTGTCCAACAGCAACCAGACTGCTCACCGAGTTCACACATAGTCCAGAATTTCTGTCTCCATTTCATTTTCACTCCCATCAGAAGGCTTGAAGTCCTCTTCCTCCTCCTCTTCATCATCCTCATCCTCTCCAGACTCATATGCCAGTTGCTCTTTGCCATCTTCACTGCTTGTTGTATTTGAGAAAAGAGCTTAATTGGGAAGAAAGAAATAAAGATACTGTGATGCCTCTCTCAGTGAAACCCGGGGGCGTTTGCAGTAGCGTTCATAAAACGTGAGAGGAAGGCAGGAGCCAGAGGAGCACAGCTAATGTTGCACATTTTAATAGAATTTAAACAAGCGCAAAGCAATCTGTTTTCAGACTCCTGAAACGCCAGCAGAACAGCAGCATATCTGCAGCACTGTGCCTTCTCGCCTAGCTGATTCTGACCTAATTCACTGGGACACTGCTTTGGCCCAGCATCTGGCAAAAATAATTTCCTGACTTCTTGTTCAATTAATAACATCAATAAAAAGTAAAATACCACCAACAGATACATCAGTAAGAATAAGATCTTGATTATCACTGTGCAAAGACATTTAAAACCTGAAGGCCATGATACTGGGAAGATGAAACAGAAAACCTTTACTCCCAGCCATTCCTAATCCCAACCCACGTTCATGCTGCAGGACAGCAGCCTCAGCTCACGCTGTGATGAGCTAGAACACAAAGAACACCAGATGTAGTACAAAGGAGGAGGCAAACTCCAGAACGCTATTGCCCCAGTGCTGACTGCAACATCCTCATTCAACCCACAACGTCTCAACACTGTCAGGAAGGTAGTAATACGCTTTGATACTCAGAAGCATCCTTACCAGGTCTTGTGGATCTGATTATCTGCTTTATCATCAGAGACAT